GCCAGAATCTGGCTGGTTAGAATTCTGTTTTCCTAGGAATTTCATTTCCAAACAATAAAAATTAGGCTGTGAGCTTGTTTTTGGTTTTTTTTCACTTAAAACTTACATTTAAACAACTGGTAGAGAGATTAGATACTTTCTTACAGACACATTCCAATGTGGTATAAAAGCATGTTGATGGCATGGTGACCAATGAAAAAATGAGTTAAAGCTTTGAATCCCGTTACACTAATATGCAATGACTGCCAGAAGAACTGTTTATGATAATATTAAAAATAAAAAATGTAGAATCAGGCAATTATTCTACGTCAACGATAACAAAAAAGTTTTAGGTGTAAAAACTGATCTGATAAGGTCAACTCATTGGAGTATTTGGAAATATCTTTTTAACTCATTCTGATGAGTGGCCAAAAATGCAATCTCAATCAAGTTAATTCTAGAAGAATGCTATGATGCTGAGATGCAACCTAAGATTTTTTTCAGGTCTCATGTTATGAAACTCTAAAATCTCAAATGAGCAATTGTCCAGATACTGAGCAAATTCAAAGCTCCACTGAATTACTATTTAATTGGTTTTTACTTGTAGTAGTATTTTGTCTATTAAGAAGCTTTATGGCATCCAACCTCCAATTATTAGATGAGAAAGAATATATATCACAATACCGCGTTTTCTGGGGAGAACGTATACCATGACATTGCATTTTCACATAAAATGTGAACAATGTTCTATGCCTATCTGGTATCTGAAATTTAATAGTCTTTTTAATCAATAACTAAATGTATTTCAACAAATCTTTATTGAATTTTTACTATGCGAAATATAATACCACAGGCATGGTGGTGGGAACAAATTAAAGAAATCGTTCCTACCCTCAAGGGATTAACTTCAAATAATTATACTGGCAAAAATAAGCCAACATTAATTCCCAGGCATATAAGCGAGCCTTTGTGAACCTGATTTAGATGAAAATTCTGAGCCAGTATCATATTGGATGAGATCTTGGGCACCCTGGGAGGAGGATGAGTGTATTTTATTTTGCACGTAGGAGGTATGTGAATTGTGGTGGCCAGCAGGTGAACTACGGTAGATAGTCTCCTGAGGTGAACTACCATTACTCCCTCTGCTTCATGTGCATGCTGTTCACATCACGTAATGGAGAGTAATCCCCCTCCCCTTGAATGCTGGTTGACCTCAGTGACTTGCTTGGCTGATAGAATGTAGTAGAAATGACCTTCTAGGACTTCTAAGGCCAGGTCCTAAAAAGCCTTGCCATTTCCACCCCAGTAACTTTCTCAGAGTTCTGCCTCAGGCAGATTCCTCTGATAACTACATGTAATCAATTAGGGGCATAGAAAAAGTGAAGACAAAAGGGCCAGAAGTCATTGCGGTGGTTCAACCAAAACATAAAGGATGGCTTAAAACCAGAAAGTAATAGAAAAAGAGGAGATGATGGATGTCAGAGATGAATAAAGGTAAAATACAAAAGAATCTCCAGGTGATGAATTTAAGGAATAACAAAAGGTAGAAGTCAAAATGGGTTCTGGGATTTCAGGATCTAGACAACTAAAAAGGAATGATGCTATTAATTAAGACTGGGATCCCAAAGGAAAGCACGAACGAAAAAAAACAAAACAGGAAATGAAATTAGAGGTGCAGGGAGGCTATCCAGGGAGAACCATTCAATAAATAAATGGCAATAAGGGTACCAAGTGCCTTTTCTGAAATAAAAGTATTTTTTATATCTGGTTGATGCTTTGAAGTCACCCAAGCCCACAGAACACTGATTTCCTTTGTGCCACCACATAGTTAATGGTTTCTCTTAAACTTAATCCCTTCTTTTTCTGGACAAAAGAAACAGATGCAGGATTCCTTACCAATAAATACCTTGCTAAGAATGAAAAGCACTTAAAGGTAAATTTCTAATAGTGGTTTGAATAAATTACTCTCAAACTAAAAAAGTTTCTACTTAAAAAATTAAGATTTTAGATTTACAGGAGTTATCTCAATGTAATTTTGATCATGTACCTACTTGGTGGCATTTCAAATTGTCCTTTTAAAGCTTAAGGAACTTTTTAAAAAAAAGTTTCTTCATACCTTGTCAAACCGTGACTTTCCTGCTTGTGCTGTGGCAACATTTATTCCTGTCCTGCCTGAACAGCCCCAATACTGAAGAATGAAATCTCTTCACCTGTCATAGGCTTTTACTTTGTATCTTCAGTGTCCTGCAGGTCCCTAATCCTATAAGTCTTTGTATCAAGTTTCTTTACAATTGGTTTCCTTAGGCAATTATGACTTAGAAAGAAACAGAAATATCTTTGTACATTTAAGGATTATTTAAGGCTAGGCAATTTATGACTTGTTCAGGGTGCCCTAACTTTTAACTCTTAATTGCATCTGCTTTCTAGACAAAGACTATGAATGCATATACTAAAATAGCTCACATAACATCATGAATTAAATTAGGCAGGTTGACATGTACTGTGTCACTATCAGTAGATTATGGACTACTTTTTAAATATTCACAAACTAAATTATGTTAGGTTATGGCTATAACTAACTGTCAACATGATCAAATTCATTTACATGTATTATTTAAATCGTATGGGTTTAGATGAGTGTTTCTCAACCTGATTACATTATAACTTCCTTAAAGACTCTTTTCAAACATTTTCCCTAATCATCCCCATACAATTTTAATACTACACATGAAATGTACGAGTATGTGTGTGATGTACTGTATTTATGCTTTACATATTTAAAAGAATAAATTTTTTTCAAACCCCCCCAAGAACCAATTGTTAGCCTCCTGGGGAGACATCTCCCCCACTGAGATGCATGTTTTATTTAGTTTAATAATTTGCTGCTCAAATATGAGCTAAACTTCATATCAAGAATAACACTAAGCCACAGAGAACCACAGAAGACTCATGAGGACTATGAGGAATACTCATGGCCACACTTCTGAAACACCTCCTAAATGAAACTCTAATTCTTCCATTTTAAAAGGCCAACATCATTCCTCCATTCTTCACTGATTCTTACTGAGAGATCAGTAACTCAGATAATTTGTGGCTAACAAGTAAACCACAGATTTTAAAGCCGAAAATATAAGTAGTTCTTCTATTCATGAGGCTCTAAAGTACAAAACGGATAATAAAGACAAAAATAAGAATCTGACAATCATAAGTATTCCCAATCCACCTAACTAGGGAAATAGCAACGTTTGACATTTGGTAGAAGAGAACTGTGAAGAAATAAATTAAGACGAAGAACGCTATTTACATATAAACTGTCCAAAAGGAAATATCAAAAAAGTGATCAATTTACAAAAATTCTATTTATGTTTATCTAGAAATCAAACTCCTCAATATTAAATCTGAAAAATATATTTATTTTTAAAAAATGTACCCAAATCTCCTAACTTTCTTCCTCCAGCACAGGTAAGTCTAAATTCTCACTTCCTGTTGGCTAAGGCAAAGCTAGTATAGGAAGAAGAGAAACCACAGGATACATCTCTTCCTTGGACTCATCATGGTCTCACCTCCACCACGTCTCATCCACCCTAACCTGAACCACAGGAAGATTAATGGGGTGGGGGTGGGGCATAAATTACTTATAGCCAGCATAAGTCATTGTTATTGTCAGCAAAAACATAGATGTTCCCCCACCAAAAGAGAAAGGGGAAAAAAATTAATAGACAAGGGGATTATGCCTAAAACCACATAGATTTACTGGTACCACAGTTTTTTTAGGGATACAATATTTAAGGAAGAGCCATATAACCCCAAATGCATTAAAACATTACTTCATTTAAGGCAAAGAAAACATTTGTAATTTTACAACTGAGTTTTCTTTCACTATCATTATTCTGTCATTCTAACTATGTCATGGCAATGTGAAAGCATTTAAGACTTCAGCAAGACTTCACACTTAAACCTTAAATTTTCTTTTCAGGTTAATCCCTTCTTCTTCTGACCAAAGGAAAGAGATATAGGATTTATTGAGTATTACTTTAGCGATAATTTAGTATTATTAAAAAATACTTACCTTCTTGTCCTAAGGTATGAGCTGTATATATTTTAAGTCTATACTTACTGAAGAAAGTCAGCCAAGACTAGTGTCTTCATAACCAAAATCTCAACTTTATAAGCAACTGTAAATTTTCTGTAGTTTGATTCAATACTTTGGTTCCATTTATTTTTAAATAATTTTAATAAAATATACCTAGTTAAAATTGTGACTTACTCTTTATAATTATTGTTTTATAATTTGTAAGAGGTGACATTAAATTACTCAGTTGAGACAGTAAAAAGTTATATTACAAAAACACACTGCATATCTGGGTATACTGGGTACTGATGGATTGATATGTGGTCATTAAAAACAGGTGATTTAGTTAAATAATTGCCAATAAAAACAAAACATTTCTTTGTAATCAGAGGCACCCAATAATTAAATGCCTCTTTTTTAGGTAAACTGAATGCGGTTCCCTGTAAGTTATAACTTAACATAAATCAATAGTGCTAAATGAGGCAGTTTGATCAGCACAATGACAGATATCTAGTAAACAATTTATACTAGGAATACTTTTCTTCTCATAATAACTTTCTTTCTTCATTTAAAAAATAGGATCAGGGAATAATGAAAATAAGGTAAGTAAACAAAAAGTTAATCAAGAAAAAAAATAATCTAAAAATAATTAACACTACAAAGTTAAAGTAATTTTTATCATAAGTCTACATATTTATCATCCCATACCAAATATCTATAAGAAGTATTGCTATAATAGTTCCTTCAGCAATCAAGCACTGTGTTAGCTATTAGCATTAAACATGACACAAGTCATGGGAGAAATTCATTTCTTCAGAAAACTTTTTTAAATTAATAAGTTGAGTAAATGAAATACTACCTCAAAATATATGTTAGCTAGGGTATAGAATCATGAAAACCAAAAGGTCAAGTCAGAAAAATAGTAAAAGTTTATGAGAAATGTATTTACCTTGGCTCCGCACTCAGCTTTATTATTTTTGCGTATGGTAGAGAACTTTGTGATTTTTGTTGCAAGTCCTATAAAAGTGAACAAAAATTTTTATTTTACTTTTAAAACAAGTTTCAAAATTATCTATGTAATATTACCTTGCAAAAATCCTGAAAAGGGTAAAATAGGGGAAAAAAAATCCTCTTTTCAGCCATATAACATCCATCAAAGCTCAAAATAAAGAATTGTGTGTATGTATATATTTAGAAGTCAAGTACAGTGTATGTTTCAGGGACTAGAGCCTACAATGGGTAGTTTCAATTTGGAACCAAATAGATCTAGTTCTAGAGATAATTTTGTAAAATGTTTTACTATTTTAATTTTAATTTTGTATCATATGTTTCATATCCTTAAGACACGTATGCCCATTTATTCCATTTTTAACTTTAATACGAAAATGTATAATCATGATTTGATTACAAGCATTAGTACATTAAAGTATCTCTAATTCCACATCTGTAAGTTCAAATTACACGTAAAAAATGTCAAAGTCTATCATTCACAATAGATTCTAATGACAAATATATTACAATTTAAAAATATCTGAGTGCCCAACTGGAAGTGTAAAGAGGGTTGCAACCAACCATTTTTTCAATGGTTCTTCCTTACTGCAGAATAGCATGTTCCTCCTTTCAGAGTAGGTTTTGTTTTATTAGCTCATCTGATTCTAATAACACAGAAGCCAAGGTAGGTATTATCATCCCATTTTACAGATAAATGAACGAGGGCTGACACACATTAAGTAACTTTTTCAAGGTCCATGCAATCAGGTACAAAGGTTGAGGCTAACAGTTTCCTAAATCCTCAATCACTGCTCTATTGTTAACACATATCTCATACACTCCATGGACTCTTAGGATCATTTACATTGAAGTTTATAAAGAACAGATTAAGGGTTTATAGAAGTTCAAATATCAGGGGCTTCTAACTAAAGCCAAGCAAAATAACTAATTATAATTTCTGCCTTACAATATCATCTTAATGTTCTAAAAGCCTGTAAGTTTCACATACCTTGAAATAAGTTCATTATTTTTCATGCTTAGATTAAGTCAGAACAAAATACACACCACAAATCAAATAGTGGCACACTTATAGGGATGAAGAACACACAGGTGATTTATATAATGATACAAATTATATCAAATGTGCAAAATAATAATTATTTCTCAATGTCTCTTTTCAATAAGCTGCTCACCCCTTTCCCAATCCAGAAAACAAAAGAATCACACATTTTTATAATGAATATAAGAAATATTACTAACCATTTCTAGGAAGGTATCAAAAGAGTAAGATTCATATAAGTGTTTTTCCTTCAAAATAAGAAGAAGTGCAGAATGTCCAATTATCTTCTTCAAATTCATTAATGAATGAAAGAGTCTGTGAACCAAAAATTTTATTAGTCTAAGTAATTAAAAACTCAATATACAATATTTTCAGTTTCTTTAATAATGGTCAAACCTGGGCCGGCCGAGTGGCGCGATNAAAAAAAATGGGCTTTCCCTATCAGCAGGTAACACTGGATAGAGAAGTAAAACACAAAGAATGACTAGAATTGCAAGGCTGACTGCTCAAACGAATAGGTCTTTCTGACTAATGATTTACATTTCCAGTACACAAATCCATTTTTGTAAGACCAAACTCTTCTATAAATCAAAAGAAAAAAGAAACATTATACCAGACCTTGTAAACAAATATTAAAACACAGTGTTTGAGGAATGAACCAAGAATTCAATAGGGAATGTGTTCCTTTTAATAGAATGATGCTAATTTTGTTGTTTCCTACCTTACACACATACTTGTCTCTGTGTCCTTCTGTGTTACAGCTAACAGAGTTCTACGTAAAATGCTCAGAAACACAAGTGGCAAATAATGGTGTAAGGTTTAGCTATCCTTTCTCTATTGCAAACACAAAATTTCAACTGGAAACCCAGCAATGATATTAGTAAGACAAATATAAGTTATTATAACCTAATTGTGATACAATAAATTTTGTAAAAGCAAAATAGATGATTATTTCTAAATCTTTATGTTTAAACGAAAGGAAAGCAATTTTCAACTATATTATCTTCTCTTACACCTTGGCTTCACCAAATACAGTGTGTGTTGGGCAAGATAATCTATTTGTGCCTCAGTTTCCTCCTCTATAATGGGGATAATTATTATACTAGAAAATGTTCAGAGAATCAAATACGACAAATAATGTAAAGCACTTTAAAAAGTCAATAGCAAATAATAAACATTCAATTAGCTAATATTTTAAGCATTATTACTCAACTACATTACTAGGAAGCAGAATATAAATAAGTATTTGTGTGTGTAACCATATAAGAAATGATGGTAACACAATACAAGGAAACGCAGCATTACCTTCACACCCAATAGACACAGATGAGCTCAGGAAAGTATACATAATAATAGTGGTGAAATAATCAATGATCCAAGTATTTTTAAGTCATATAAGGGATTTCTATAAGATAACAAAAATCCCTTTCAGTTTCAAATTTTAGGGAATTATATGGCATGTTACATAGTCAATACAACAAACTATACCCTTTTGAAATATTTCAATTAGATTTTGTTATTAGCCAGAATGAAAATATTTCCTACTTTGCAATTTACCAGAACAAAGATTATGTAAGTGGCCTACCAGGCTTTCTCACAAACTTAATTCAATTTTAAAGAGTTGAAATATAATCCTCTATCTAGAGTAGTTTCAAAAGAAACTATTTAAAGTAAATTTTTCTATAGAATCTCTTGGTAGCTCAAATGAAGTAAATATGTGGGGCACCTAAAAATATAACCCAATAAAAATATTTAAATGGTTTTTATATTAAAAAGCAACAAAGTAAATCGTAAGCATAACCTTAATCCTAAATTCCTCTATCAGGGCATCACATAGGAAAAATTACATACATTATTAAATAAGTGATGATCGATGGCAAACCGGCTGTGGTGGTTAAAACAATATCAATTTTCTAGCCATCTAGATTCAATTACTCCTCTTTTCCCTTTCATTAAAAGAAAATAATAAACTTAAGTGTTCAGCTTAGACAGAGTAACTTTAAATACTCCACCAAGAACCAACATAGCTAAACTATACAGAGGAAAAAGGTTTTGTTTGAAGATATCTAAGGGCAATCAAGGTAGCCAGGACTTGAGGGAAAACAATTCTGGAAGGAAAATGCATCAAGGTTACTGGACACAAGGTTAAAATGCAAAAAGTCAATTATACTTTTCATACATGAAAATATACCATGATCATGGATTCGATAACCCAATATTTGGAAAGAAGTTAATGATACTTAAATTGATCCAGAGATTCAAAGCAATCCCAATCAGTCTCAAGAATTTTTTGATAGACACGAAAAACATGATCCTAAGCCTACAAAGAACTAAGAATAACCAATGCAATCTGGAGAAGAACAAAATTAGAAGATTTATACTACCAGCTATTACGATCTGTTACAAAACTAGAGTAATTAAGACGCTATAAGAGTAGACAAATAGACACAATTGAATAGTCTAGACAAGATCCATAAAAATGTAGTCTCACTCATGAGTAATGAGACAAAGATGACACTGCACTGCATTGTGGAAACTATAATCTTTTTAACAAATGGTGCTGGATATCCATAAGGGCAAACATGTATCTTGNATATATATATATATAGTATATATGGTAATCTGAGAACTGGATATGAAATAACATGAAATTAAATTCCTACACAATGAAGTGCAACTCTTTATCTCCCTGGATTATAACTATGATTTTGATACCAAATCCTTAGTCAAGAAGGTACCCCAGTTACCACAGCGTACTTTGGAGAAAATAGGATCAGTCTTATAATGTTTTACTACTCCATTTGCAGAAATGCACTGCAATAAAAAGTTGGGTCAGCCAGTACTTTGTCAATAGATTTCTCAAAAAATGCTTTGAAAATTGGTGTTGTTTTTCTATAGCAGTATTTATAAGGGGTATTATATTATTATTAATGTGATCTGATATATATTAACAACTTCATCAAAAGACAAAAACTTATGGCCCAAACTTTTAAAAATTTTTTAAGATTACTTTTCAATAATTATATTACCTGGTACCATAATCTACAACCACCCAATCTTTTGCAGTTCCTGTGATAGCATCATGATGTTGAAACAGTCCCAAGTTCCTTCTGGCTTCTGTCAGTGACGTGTAGTAGGATGATGAAAGAAATGCACTTATCTTGTATTTCTGAGCTTGTCTTAGGGCGAAATAGTAAAGAATTTCAGCAGCCCTAAATGCATAAAATAGTCATTAATTTTTATTTCGAAACAATCAGTTTATTATCTAAAAGATGTGACACTGATGTATTTTCAACTGTGGTTTTTAAAAAAATCCACAATTTCAGCATAAACAATTTATAAAAAAGATACTGATAATAAACCTTTTTAGAAAACCAAGGTAAGTATCTAATAAATCTAAATGCTCAGTCATCAAAGAACATCATGTCTGTGTTGATACAAAGAGCCCTTTTTCTAGAGTAAATTGTCCTGGAGAGAAGCCAGTACTCACTGGCAGCAAGATAGGTTTATTTATGTATAACATAGTGGAAAAATATCTCAACAGAGCAGTAAGAGCTGGATAAATGTTTCTGTCCTTTCTTCTCTCCAAGAGCAGGGCAGACATATACCACAAACTTCATCACCAGAAAGCCATTTACTCTCATGTATGTACATTAAGGGGAGAAGCAGCGGGGAAATGCACAGTCACATGAGTGGGCGACTAACAGTACAGAAGAAGAAAATGATGGCCCGATAGCTCGGGGACAAGAAGTCGTCTAAGTGTTAGATAATAACACATAACTACTATAGAGAACTGAACAGGATAAACTGAAAGATGATAAAACATATGCTGTCTTTTCTCATTTATTTTAAAAAGTAAAACACTTTAGCTTAAGAATACCTTTTTAGCAAAAATATGGGGTTTGCAATTTTCCACCTTTTATTTTTTAATCAGAGGATATGGTTCAAGATAGGTTTCTAAAGAGTTCTTTAAAAAGAGCCATGGCTTGATGGAGTAAAAATTATAAGAGGGTTCCTTCTGCAAAACATGCTAAGCACGATGGAGGGAAAATCGAGGTAGCTTGTAAATGAATAGACATCAAGAAAATTGCAGTGTTTTGTTTTGTTTTGTTTTGTTTTAAAAAAAACACCTTTTAAATTGTTGAAATAGTGAAGATAGTAACTAATCTCCATTTTTAAATTCTATCCCTTCTGATAGTCACAGCAGGAGAATCACTAAATTTGAATTAAAGAAATTGTGTATATATATTCACATATATCCGTAACAAATAGTCCTGGTTTTGAAAAGAATATGTATACATATAGATATCTCAAAATGTAAAAAAGTGGACTTTAAGAATATTTCTTCTTTATACTTTTCTATTTTACCCAAATATTTTACAAATGAGGATTAGGATAAATTATCAGACAATAAACTTACTTTCAAATTAGTTAATTACATTATAAAATTCACAATTATAGTTTTGTTGTTCATTTTGAAGCACCAAAATTTTAAAACTATATTACCACTGGTAACTACTTCACCTTGAATATGTTCAATAAATTAAGATTGAACCAACATTCATAACGCTTTGCCCCTAAAAAATATCTGACACTTAAAAAGCATTCAGTGGTCCAAAAGAATCTCTACATTATTTCATATTTGTTCTGTTTTTATCACAGATAATTCAGAAGTACATAACAGATAACTAATTAACATTCTATTGGGTAAAAATGCATAAATATTTATACTATATGAATACCATTTTATTATAAATTCATTATGTATCCATGTGGCACACTTGTGAATATCCAAAAACACAAAGGTGAGGCTTTTGAAATAATAACAGTAGCACAAAAGTAAAATAATAAAAATACACACTATTATTCCAAAGTACAACTCTTGAAAAAAATTCATGTTTTTTATAAAAAGGTTTTCCAGAACATACCCTCCACTAGTGCATAGAAGAGGATAGGTATAACTTTTTAGTTTCAATACTGATATTCATCACGAAAATTAATCATCATGAGTTCCTGATTTGAACTGAAATGAAAATTAATTCATCATGCAAATGAATTACTCTCCTGGGCTACACATACACACACGTATGAGAGCCTCAGGAGTCCCTGGGGTGATTTATCTTTACCAAAAAACGCGACTCAGTTACTTAGAACTGTACTCTCCACTGTGACAGCCACTAGTCACATGTGGCTATTTACATTTGAAATAATTAAAATTAAATGAAATTAAGAATTCAGTTTCTCAGTTACATTGGTCACATTTTGAGAGCTCCATAGTTCTATGTGGCTGGTGGCTACCACACTAAAACAGCGCAGAAATAGAATATTTCTATCACTACAGAAAGATCTATTGGACAGTGATAGAAAGTTCTACTGGATAATGCTAATCTTGAGTGTTTTTATGTTTTCTATTAACTTTGATGTCTTTTCCGTGTCAGTTTTTTTTTCTCACTCTGCTTCCATCAGTTCTCATCTCTCAAGTTTTGTTCTTCTAAGCAGAAAAGCATACATATAGAAATGTGTTTCAAATAAATAAATAAATAAGAACTGAGATGGAGCCTCTAAAGATCTCCCACCTAAAAAATACATTCATTTTCGAGTACGTATTTTGAGGCCCACATTTTGGCTACAGAGAGGCCCTATTTGCTCCTTTTGACCTATGCCCATTTCCAATAGTTTAGCCTGCCAGATTACTGACATGTAGACACACATGATGACATCATTGAATATCATTATGATGTGCCAATGATTGAGGTAATTAATTTTAAAAATATAGAACACAGAATACACTCCCAGAAAATCTAATTACCTAAACTGCTTTTCCTCCCAGAACAACAAAGCCATGTAATAATTTGATTATGCTTTGGAGACATATCTCTGATTATATGAAAATCTCACGATTCAATTAAACACAACCTAACACTCCATAAATGCTGTATATTATGCAAATCTACAAAAAAGGCTATGGTAGCATAAAAGAAGTGAATAGCTATCTAAAGGTACATGTACCTTAAATGGGATTCCAATATCCTATCCATTCGTTTGTAAAAGGGTCTGGATGTAAAGTAGCCACTCCAATAATGATCATCTCGGTCAGCATAAGTGAAAAAATCTCCACTTACAACAGGGAACATTGATTGGCTATTCGTTCTACTGGATGCCTCTTCTTTATCNAAGAGCTCCTTTGCGACCATTTTTACACACACCTTTCTGATGCCAAGATTTTTCAGTTAAAAATTTCGTAACTGTTTCTCTATCGATGTTTACTTGGTCTGCTATGCTTCTCACAGTTATCCGATGATATTGACGCACAATTCGACAAATTTTTGCAATGTTTTTGTCAGTTCTGCTCATTACTGGCCGCCCTGACCTCTCTTCATCAGTGACGCGTTCTCTCCCTTAGAAAAACGTTTAATCCATGTGTACACTGCCGTTTTCGTCATGGCATTATTCCCATAAACTTGGACTAACATGTCCCTGATTTCACTTCACTCTTGCCAAATTTAACAAGAAATTCAATGTTTGTTCATTGCTCTAATTCAAGCTCAGACATTTTCGTGACGGCAAACAAAAACATACAATAATGAATGCCATTCAGCAAGACACCACCACACGTCGACAGGAACACAGCTGTGAGGCACTGATATACCAAGGTCATAAAACCTCACCGAGCTGTTTGTACAGTGCTGCCAATGTAAGCGCACAGTGGCATATTTAATTGTCAGACCCCATATATGTTAGGACCCTCACGCTTACCCTTTGCTCATTTTTTTCTCCTACCTACCTCATCACAACTTAGGAACTGGCAAATTCTAAATCTTTCTGTAACTGACCTCATTACTCATTACCATTTATGTTTTCTCTTCCACATAGCGCCTTTATACACTTTAAAACTGAACATCCAGTACACTGTCCCAGTCTAATTCATGTTTTTATACCATGAGTAGAATTAACCTCCAAATATGCCATGAGGTATTCTTGCTCTCCAGTTTATAATTATACCGGGGGTGCCACAAAAAGTACACATTTTAAGAGATGTTATCTATGTATTACTTTTAGAATTTGAACTGAGCTCCGGTAGCAATGTGTAGTAGACATTCGCTCAAAATGGTGTTCATCAAATGAATGCTAGCATCATTCATTATATTACAATTGTAATAGTTTTTTCCTTTCTTAAAATGTGTATACATTTTTTTGGCACCCTCTGTATAAAAATTCAATCTACCATTAAAAGCAGGACTCTAAAAAATCATCCTTAGATGGCAGAAGAGAAAGCTAGAAGGGTCTGGAACCCTGATAGGACTGTGGAGCTGTCATACCTGAACCAGTGACTTGTAGGCTTCTTTCATACAGCATAAAAATAAGCACGACAGGATTTATTCTGTTTTGAGTTGCTATTACTAGCAGCCAAATGCCATCCCTAACTCATATATTTTTTCATAGGGACATATCTGTAAACAGGAGTCAACAGTCCAAGAACAATACAACACCTAATGCTAGCTGCCTCTTTGTTTATAATTCTCTCACTTGTGTTTTGAAATTTCCAACTTAAAATGTCTGTGATAATCACTTGATAATTGTTTATGACTCTTCAATGAAGTGTGAAGTGCTTGCAAACAAATATACAAATGTCAAGTACAATTTGAGAATCATTGTTTCCTTTTTTCTCTAAGATGCAGTTTTTTCCAGGGATGTTTTTATAAGCTAAAAGTAATACCAAACACATGGAGGAACTAATGACGCCCTCTGGAAAGGTGATGAGACAGAAAATGTTCCATAACTAAACTCATTGACCTGTTCCCAAATCTCTTTCAACATGGCAGCCAGAGAGAGCAAGTAGGCAGTAACTTCTCTTTTTCCTCTGAGGAGCTCTTGTCTGATTATAAGCAGCCTTACATTTAAATTTTCAATAAGCCAAAAAGACAGGAAAAGGTGAAAAGGAAAAATGGAAGATCTGACTTTACTTTCAAAAATACTTAAAACCAAAAAGAAAAAAATTGCTTTCCATGGGAGAAATACAAACATCATTATCATTATCATCCAGTGCTTTCCACTTTAAGTTCAGCTTAAACTTCACTAGATGGATGTCAAATACATTTGCCACAAGAAAACTGAGAGATATTCAAGGTACTACTTTGAATATATTTTAAGGACTCAAGTCAACTAATGAAACCTCAAGAATATTTCTTCCCTAAATTTCTAAAAAGGCAGTTAAAAATTTTTAACAAAATTCAATGAACAGTTATTACAATTAGTAATATCAGTTGTGGATCATTTTTTTAATGTTGACTTTAATGTGCTGTTATCACTTTTCACGTATGAAAATATTTATATAAAAATAAATTTACTTTTGAAATTTATAAGAAAATCAGAGTATATCTTTAATGATTTTAAAATATCATCAAAGCATACACTGCTGATAGCAAAAAAAAAAAATCTGCAAGAAATAATAATCTAAACAACATAGAAACAATTTTCAAAACTCCTTCCCCAGCGTAGGAATCTCCTCTACACTGATCCTAAGGAATGGTAACCCAAAATCTAGCAAGATGATGGAAATCTCACTGTCATAAAAGATAAAGTCTTTCCATGATTGGGAAGTGCTGTAAACAAAATCCTCTGCTAGTCTGAGTCAAAGCCTATACTCGTTTTTAATTATGCATTACAAAGATAACTGAGCTTCTACCCCTCATTTATCTGACAGACCTTCAAAAAAGAGTTGAAGATGACTTTGATATCAATATCCAGGCCATCCCTTCTCATCCCAATTCCTTGCATCATCCATATATGACAAGGTTTCTAGGTTATTCTACTTCCTGGCTATGCTTCTAGGCTTATCCTTTTGTGTTAATATTCTTCTAAAAGAATATATATATAGTGGGCTGGCCAAGTAGCTCCGTTAGCTAAGAGCACAAGCTCTGAGCAACAGGGTCGCTGGTTCGATTCCCACATGGGCCAATGAGCTGTGCCCAAGCTGAGCTGTCATTGAGCTCAGGATGGCTCAGCTGGTGAGAGCATGTGCTCCTAACAACAAGGGTGTTGGTTCTACTCCCGCATGGGATGGTGGGCTACCCCGCCTCCCCACAACTAAGAATGAACATGGCATCTTGAGCTGAGAGGCNAAATAAATAAATAATGGTCAAACCACTACCAATACCTTTATCCAGTATTCACAAAGTGAAACCTAGAATGAACCTATAATGAATTGGCTCTTTTTTGTTCAGAATTAAGTACTAAGAAAAAAATGATTAATCAAAAGATATCACTGATAGGGATTCGTTTAAAATAGAAAACTTTCTGAACATACCTGAAAGTCATAAACTTACTCAAACTATTTATACTTTCTATGAATATCGTACCAAATAACAATATCCATAATTACTCCAATAGCTTTTTGAAGCAATGATGTGATATTTTATCTTAGAAAAATCTTTAACAAGAATTGAAACGACAAAAGAAGTCACGAGATTAACTCTCGTTCACAACAAAATTCAATCAGTATACACACTTCAAAGAACTCAAATTCCTGAAGAATTCAAATAGGTATTTTGCTGAATTAAGTTTCATGTTCTGATTTAAAAGAACTAGAAAAAAAAAGTTTTTTTCACAGAACTGTATAATGAAATGGTCTTTCTCCTGTTACACATCTTGGTCATTGAAATTGTTACCTGTATTCAAACTGTATTTTTAGATTTGCGGAACCAAAGGATGCTTATGAATCAATTGATTCAAAATCAATTCTGGAATATAATCTTGGTACATCACCAGCTATTGCTGAAGCACTCACTACACGTGGGGAAAAAACTTAAAGATTTTTTTCAAGTTCAATCTTACTACTTTAAAGCTTTATAGAGCAGGCATCCCTAAGTAAACTCATATTGGAGAAATCTGTAGAGAAACTTTGTTAACCATGTTTTCAATCAACCATCAGAATCAACCTATTACATTTACAGAGTGATTACATTATCTTCCCCAACACAGGAAGCAATTTTGGATCTACTCACTAAAAACATTTTTGTTGGCATGCAACAACACAAACAAATTGTAAAAGAATTAAAAATAACTTCTTTTTGCAAGCATTAAGACTATCTTCAAAGATATAAGTGATCATGATCAAGTTCATTAAATACATTTACATAGTAAATCTATAACTACAGTATTAAAATCTTATGAATTTGACTTCCGGCCATCATCCAGATAAATTTCTCCTTCTACTCAAATGTTTTCCTAGATGGTAACAAATGTTCTGAGACTAAAAGACCCTATGAATGAATACAATTCAATTATGGAAACAAGTCCCTCAGTCTAGGTTTATTTTTATTATCTATATGGCTATCTTTATTAGGCTGTCTGGACCTACAGAATAAAAGTCATGTTCTCCATCAGCTAAAACCTTGTATGTATATATATATATATATATAAATGTATTACAGTGTATTACAGAGTCCTAATAAAACTGAGTAACTGCCAGGAATCAATGTTTGTATCCTAAAGGCACATATGCAATCTTCTAATGAGATGAGCACTAAAGACTAACACAGTATTCCCCAAATGCTTTCTCAGGAAATATTAGATTTGTTTCAAACAAAACAAAACTAAACACAGTGAATAAGTTTTGGGAAACATGGATAAAACAAAACTGTAAATGTTTCCACATTTCATCAGTATGGGATTTCTTAGAGCCTCCAACTTCCTAGCATGCCCTTATCCTATTATTATGGCACAGTTCATGAAACATCACCTAGGGATCAGTTTTCTAGCTTGCTATCATTGCTGCTGTTTCAAGATGTTATCATGTTTGTTATTCAAGGTTTGATATACGAGGTCTGACAATTAAGTTCACAAACTCATCCTAGAAAAAGTGCTACATACCTCATTACTGA